AGAACATTAAGTTAAAAGCTGAAATAACCAACAATGCAAAACTGTAAAACAGAAAGTAGCAGAGTGGCTAAAAGTGACCAGATGTATGTGAGATTAGTTACTCCAGACATTCTCCATGTTAGTTTTAATTCTACCATACTGTTTTACTCTTTTCATATCTGACCTCCTGTCTATCTGTTCTGTAATGGGCAGCCCCCCTTCATTGTTCATCAGGTAACTAGAGCTACAGCCCAGTAGAACCTGAGCCACTTAAAATATAAGCTTTATGAAAAAGGAACCTTTTATGCAAGTGCATCTGCTTCACAGACTAAAGCCGGAAGTGTCATGATAGGCTTAAGAGACTTAACCCACATGCAGAACACCACACGAAGCTGAGTAAAAGTTTAACAGAGTTTATTGAATGAACACACACAGAGAAATATGAACTGGTTCTGGTACAGGTCCGGGACAGGAATCACTGATATCTGCAGAGATGGATAGTTTGATTAGCCAGGCAGCTCCAATGGTTTGTCTAGCGTGTATTATTCAGATTGTACCTTGAAGAGGTTCTGGCTGATCCCTTTGAGAGGGGGAACCGGTTGGATCCAGAGACTGTAGATTCAGCAGAGAGCTCAGCAGCAGCATCGTCTAGCTTCTGGCTTATGAGTAACAGACCTTGGCTTGTTTTCCTAGCTCTTCCTTGAGAGCTGGTGGAGGAATCCAGACTGATATCTTCAGGTTTGGCTTACTTGGGCAGGAAGGCAGGTTTCCAAGCAAAGCTCATCCAGAGCTTCAGACTTCAGTCCGGTTTTCTGTGAGCAAGAAGACAGAGGCAGGTTAGAATCTAGTTTCTCATCCAGAGTCGACTAAGATTCACTAAGATTAACTGAGGCTCAGATTCGCTAACCAAACTTGGTCAACACTGCGGCGTTGAAGGAAGGTCTGACGGCTGCTTATGTAGAAGGTCTCCTGATGGGCTGATGATCCTCAGGTGTGCTGAGGGCTCCAGCCCAGGAGACCCACGGCGCTCTCTGCTGGAGACAGGTGGTAGATCTCCACATCCCAACAGGAAGTTGGTTTTCACACATATGAAGAGGGCTTTTTGCTCAATTCTAAAAATTTTAAAAGTCTTGGACATGAGATTCAAACCATAAGAATACAGAATATATGAGCAAGCGTTCTTAATAAAACATGATTATTTCTAAAAGTAGTAATAACCCTGAACCTAACCATTACCAG